CCTCCAGCAGTATCTCACCCCAAAACCCACCCCAGAGGCTCCAGCGGGATGAAGGACAAGCAGCCTGATACTCAAACGGTGGCTGTGGTGTCTCAGAGAACTGCTACGTGCTCCTGAGGCAGTTCTTCAAAAGTTCCAGCCGTCTGCTAAATAAATCAGGCAAGCTGAGCTTTGGCACTGCTCTCAGTGGGGTGGTTAGTAATTCCATAAATCCTGGAATCCTGGAAATGACCAGGCTTTAGAGAAACGCGACATGGACATGACTTCATCGCCCGTCCCCATCAATCTGTGCCTCCCCTCGCTGCCACAGCTCGCCTGCTGCAGATTGGGGTGCTGAGCAGCATGGGTGCGGGACGTGCTGGCTCGGGGCTCTCTTTTCTCACCCCAAAAAGAGGTTTTGGGGTGGCAGGAGCGTGCCTCTGCCCTCTCCATCCCTGTGGGCCAGCCAGGAATGAGTCAAGGGTGAAAACGGGGAAGAATAACCATGAATGGACGAGCCACGGTGGAAGGGAAAAGTGAAGGAGGAAACAAGGAGTTTCCATCCCATATCGTGGTGTTTCGGTGTGCGCAGCTGAGAAGACAAATTAAAGCTCACACACACCTTAAAGCAGCCTGCATTTCTGGAGAGCACAGATACCTCGCTCCTCGACAGAAGCCTTACTTCTCCTCTTCATCTCCAGTAACAGTTCCCAGAAGCAAACGTAGCTAAAGCAGTGTCTCTGTCAGAGGACAACTTGAAACAAATACAAATAAGACTGAATTACGGCAGATAGCCAAGCTGCAAAGAACAAAAGGGGGTTTTAATTTGATGTTTGGAGAGAAAGACAATCCTGCGTGGACGCTCTCCAACGTACTTCTGATGTTATTAACAGCAAGAGCACCTCAGGCTGTGCTAAAGCAGAAGAAGCATGAATCTATTTGCAAAGTGAATGGAAAGGGGGGATCAAAAATACCACCTTATTAAACGGCGTGCGTTTGGTGCTAAGTGCATTATTTATCCGCTCGAGAAATTCCCCAAATGAGAGCGGGTGCCCGAAGTAAGGTCACTGCTCGATGTCAATTCCAAAGCAGAACTGCGCCTTGTGAGGATTTCAGCACACGCCTGCTCTTTTATCTCAGCACAAAACGAGATCTATTTTTTTTTTTTTACACTTCAAAAGCCACGTAAGGCAACAAATAAAAAACACACGCCGAGCATGAAGGCCCAGAAAACATGCCAGCATCTCTCAGCAGTCATCCTTCCCGTGTCATCCGTTCTGTCAGATTTATCTGGTTTTGCTTAATTCGGGTTCCGCTGATAGGCATCTTTCCTCTCTAGACCATCAGGCCGGGTAGACTTGAACTCGATGTGGCTTCTTAAAATAGCAGAGAGAAACTACAGCCTATTCATCAACTGCTCTCCCAGCTCCAGCTCTGCTTAGGACTCTCCCCGAAGAGGGTCAATCTCTGATTTCCTCACCTCAGAAATTCTACCCGACCGCGCCGTGTAAAGAGCACTTGAAAAAACAGATACAGCCTTTCTTTTCTGGAAGCTTTTCCCCCTGAAAGCTGTATTTATTGCGGAACAATCCTATATTTATTGTAAATCCCACTCTCCTTTTGTCCTGACTCATACTTGTTTGTGATCCAAAACCTCCTCTACCAAAATCTACCAAACAGTCAGTTTTCCAGTGCTTGCTTTCCATTCCTGCTGCTTTTTTTCTCCCCTTTTCAGGTCCTCTTGGACCTGTTTTGCACCGCTCCAGACCCACCTGCCTGCTGCTTCTGCATCCTTTGCTCCCTGGGCTGCTGCAGGCGGCTGAGACCTTGTTCTCTTCATCTCTAATATCTGTAATATGTTTCAACAACGTCTTCCCCGCTGCCTTATAAATCTACTTAAATGAATGCACTTCCTAGCTAAGGCAGCTCCGCTCCTCCTCGCGTTTTTAACCTCTTTCAGCATCAGCCCTTTCCACTTTCATCGAGTCGAGGAGCCTGACGTGAGGATCAGGTCTCTGTGAGCACAGATTACAGGATCGTGCTGTCACAAGAGCAGCTTTCAGGTGTGTTTTCAGAAAATAAAAGAATGAAACGTCCACTGAATTCAGTCCATGATGGCTTTTCCCTCTACGGCCTGCTTTCTAAGCTTATTTTGGGTGAAAAACAGCAAGTGCTCTGCTGCTGCTTCCCATCCACGTGAAATGAGTAAGGCTGGGCTCTAACAAGTCCAGATTCAGGTGGCAAAGACCCGCTCGGAAACGCGAGCGCTGGGAGGAAAAAGCAACCAGCACGGCTCTGCTCCTGCCAAGGCAGCAGCAGCACCAAAAGGACTGAATCAGACAAAGTTCCTCCAGCACGCACACAGAGCCCAGGAGGAGTTATTTGAAGGTATCCCTGCTGCTCCGGCACAGACATCGCTCGGGAGCCCTGCGGGGTGCTGCTCTCTTACAGCTACCCCGAAAACAAAGCAGCAAAGAGGTAAAAGCATTACGGGAAAAAGTTTTCTAAGCGAGCCTACGTTTGCTCGTGAGTTTAGTCGTGATGAAAATGAACGAGAATGGTTAGGACCATCGCAAAAAGTGGGTGCAAAGTGTTCCTGAACTAGGCAAGGCCAGAACCGGGCTGCAGGGGATTTATCCTACGGGCGGTACCAGGCCGGGAGAGGCAATGTCAGCGAGGGCAGCGCACCTCGGCCAGCCCCACGCCACACAGCCCAGAGCTTTTCAAGCACTTCACCTCCCTGCAAGCAGCCCGGCCGCACCTCCTCCAGCTGTATTTCTGCGCTGTTTTTTTTTTTTTTTTTTTTTAATGCGTTTTTGCATTATTTTTTTGGCTTTCCCCTTCACGCTCCGCCGTTCAGCTTCCCGTTCAGGTGCTCCAGAGAAAAAGGGCTGGCAGGAAATCAGAGGGCCCAGGGCGGCGTTAACAATGGCTCTTGCAAAACCGCGCCGCCGAGAAGCCGCTCCAGCTCCTTTCCCCCCCCCCCCCCCCATTTTCCACACACCCCTCCCCGGTGCCTCCGGGGAACCGTGGCACAAAGGAATCGCTGCGAAGCTCCCCGGGGAGGGCAGAACCGGGGAGCCCCCCCTTTAGGAACCGGGCCCCGGGGCCTCCCGTTGGGGCCGGGCCGAGCCCGTGCGGGCCCCTCCTGAGGCGGGCACCGGGGCTGTGTGAGGAGGGGGGGGGGCCCCGTGGAGCCTGGACCCCCCCCCCGGGCGGTACCGGCGGGCTCCGCTCAGGCCGCAGCCCTCACTGCCCCCCCCCCCCTCTTCTCTCTGTCACCATTACACCTTTTGTCCCGCGCGCGCTGTCGCGACACTCCCCCTATCGCGACAGGCGGCGTGAGGATGCGTGTGTGGAGGGGAGAAACCGGGAAGGACAATGAGGAAAAGAGGCGATGGGGGGGGGGAAAAGAACGGAAAAGCCCAGCTCGCCGCTTGTGCCCCCCCCCCCACCCTCACAAACAGCTCCTGGAGGCCCCGCACTTACTCTCGGTGCCCCTGCCCGGGCCTCATGGCGCCGCCGCCGCTGTGCCCGTGCCGGCCCCGCCGCTCCCCCCCTTCCTCCTCCTCCTCCTCCTCCTCCGCCGCCGCCGCCGCCCGCCCCGGCCGTGGTGGCTGCGCCAGGAGCTGCCGCGCATGCGCCCCGCCCGCCAACGGCCCCCGCCGCCCCGCCCCGCCGCCATTACAGCGCCCCCTCCTCCTCCTCCTCCTCCGCCTCCTCCCTCCTCCCCTCAGCGGCCCCGCCGCCATGACAGCGCCACCGCGCGGCCGCCATTAAAGGGCGGGAGGCGGGCTGAGGGGCGTGGGGGGGTTACGCGGTTGAGGAATAAAATGTGTGGAATTTGTGACGGAAAAGCGGCTCGCTGTTGAGTTTTTGTTTCGTTTTTAATAAAAATGAAGGAGATGGGGTACAGAAGGGAAGGGGGGGACGCAGACAGGCGCGGCGTACATGGCGCCCAGGGCTTCTTCAGGGGGCTGTGGTGGCCGTGAGGGGGGCAGTAACGCAGAGCTCCCCACACAGGGACAGGGACACGGTACTTGTGCTGAGAGAGTAGAATCACAGAGTCATAAAATCATTAGGGTTGGACTAAATGATCTCGGAGGTCTTTTCCAACCATCACCCTCCCGCCAACATTACCTCAAAGGGTTTGGGTTCCCTGTAGGAACCCCCAGAAGACCCCTCCAGATCTCTCCCTTCAGCCCAGAGGTGTCGGTTTGTAACAGCACACGGGATTTCACCCCAATTTTCAGAAGGAAACTATTCAGCACTACAAAAACTGAGCCTGAACTCAAGCCCACAGGCTCAGCCCCACACCCAAAGCGGCACACAGCACCACTGAGCGCCCCCAGCCCCCTTTGCTCAGCCTGCAAGAGCTTTGCCCACACCCTGACCCGTGTCAGACACTCTACATCCTCAACAGCCTCCCCAGCCTGAGCTGCTGCCCCAACTTTGGCCTTTTCTTTAGCTCTGATGGTCTCTAACTTCCAGTCTGCAACCCTGGTGCAAAGAGTAATGACTCTGTAGTAATGTTCCTGTAATAAACTATTCGAGTCCCTAAGAAAAGGGTTGCCATCTGTTTCTGCATGACTAACTAGCCCTTCTGAAGCAAGCACCTACGCAATGCTGCTAGAGGCATCTTCAGACCAAATCCCTCAATGTTCATTCATTAGCCAAACGTCCAAATGGGTGTAAAGCCAGGACACCACTGGGCACCGAAACCAAGATGTGTCGAGGCAGGAAGACACCTATTCCCTGCTCTGCGTGCCTTTCTTACAAATATGCTCCAGCAAATGCTTGTGTGTCCAGGGAGCAGTTCTCTGGCCTCTCTGCTCCCTTCACCTGCAGTCAGGGAAGCAGCTCGTGTACACACCAGGAACGGATCACAGTCCAAGCTCCATTTCTCTGCTTCTTCAATAATCCACTCAGAAGAGGGTGTCACCAGACACATCCCTCCTGAGTCAGCACCACCTGCCAGGAGCAGTGAACTGCCTAGGACACTGAGGGGAAGGATGCCAGGGTAAAGAGAAGGAACACATTTTTATTAGCTAAAGCATAGAAAAGGTCAAAATTCAAGAAGTAGCTGGCAGTCATTTAAGAGGAAGGTGCACACACACCTGTGGCAAGAGCTCCAACACAGCAGCTGGAAACCACTGGCATTCATGACTCTATAGAGTTTCAGAGCTCTCTGCCCCACCCCAGTTATGAGAATGTTTCTGCCAGCCAGCAAACTCTTCCAACTCAAGGTCCCTGGGCAATACTGACTCCCTCACAGCTCTACTCACAACCATGAACAGGGTGCAGGGCAAGGAGCACGACAGAAATGAGAACCTATGGTTGGGGTAGCCCCTTCCTTCTGCATTACCACGGCTGGCATCACTCAGCCTTCAGAAGAGATGATAAATGTGCACTAACAATTCTTCACTGCGACCCTTTGTCTGCTAAAAGACAGGAGATGTTCCCCCACACTTCGAAGAACCACAATATTCACCCTTCCCTTTTTGAGCCAGACTCTTGACTCAAGTCATCCTGAACTTCCAGCCACAAACGCTTGGCAGCAGGGATGTGGGACACAGCCCAGAAGCAGATGACAGCTCTGCAAATGCGGTGCTACAACCACACACGCACCAGGTTCTCCGATATGCGTCCCGTTTCCATATGATAAGGCGTAGAAGATCTGTAGAGTTTATTTCCATTTGGGCCATTCCCCAAAGAATAATATATTCTACTTCAGCCCGCTATCTGGACTCCATCCTCCTGTTTCTGGATTGAGCAAAGGTGTTAAGATACCTGCAGCACGAATTGGGACTGGTTTCTCTGCATGACCACAGAGCTCAACGGCTGTCAGAGCCTCCTCAAAGAGTTCAACTCTTCACCTCCACCTTGAGCTTCAAGCGGACATCACAGAGGAAAGCGTTCATCAGGTCCTGGCCAGCCTCCTGAGCGATCTTGCTGATAACCGTACCTCTTTTTCCAATCAACATCATCTGTATGAAAACCCAGAGAGAACACCATCACTCTCATTCTTCCTGTGGGGAGGAGTCACCTAAGAAAACAATGGTGCAGGCACAGAAGCGTATAGAATATAGCAGCCAGAGATGTCCTAAAACCAAACCATGGGCAACTGATTGCTTCAGAAAGGTGCAAGGTGTTACTGAACGGCCTGTGACTGTCACAGACCTGGATCTTTCCAACACAGAACCCACTGCTGAGGGAGGAGGTGTCTAACACAGCAAGGGTGCACACATGCAGGAGCTACAGGGGCCTCCTCTCACTACTCCCCAGCTCTCTCTTACTCACCATATGAGACTTTCTTGGGACCACGAGGTTCTGCACAATGAGGAGCTCTCCGCTTGGCCCTTCCTCCCACAGCTCTGTCACCTGCAACAGCAAGCACAAACCCAGTAGCTCAGTGCAGGACCTCACAATTCAGCACAGAATCTCCGGAGCCACAATGTGTGACTCTTTCACAGACTAAAGCTTAGCTCCCTGGCACATGCACATGTGTGACCCAACTTAAAACACAGAAAGTGTCTCACTGCCTGACACACAAGTCCCAGGTCATCCCTATGCGGCCTGTGAAGGGTCTGGCAGATTTCACAAACTCAATAAAAAAGGAATTTTCATCACATTGCCAACAAAATAACTTGAAGGCAAGTCCGCCTTGCACACGCTTCCCACCTGAGTCACACCATAGGGCACCTCCAGGGGCAGGTACTCCAGAATCTTCTCCCTGATGATATTGTCACAGATCTCTTGAGGGGACTGGCTGGTCAGGACCCCGCTGTGAAACTCCCACGGGCCTGGCTTGGCTTGCATCAGGAGGTAGCGCTGTCAGCACAGAACACCCATCACACACCCGTTAGCTGCCGCGTGCCGTGCTTGTAGCACCACAAAGCCCTGTGGTGAGTTGCTATGAGGATGCTCCTGCTAGCCACCAGGGCGGTGGTGTAATATCTTTGGCATGGAATGGAGAAAGGGAAGCTTCTGAAACTGAAACAATCCCAAAGGTCACACCTCCCTAAGTCATTTGTATGAGCTACAAAAGAGTACTACTCGCAGCTGCGTGATGCTGCATCAGGCGTCCATCATTATGGACAGGCTGCTATTTGGGGAGCCTCAACTAAGGCAGAAAACTCTGGAGATGTCAAAAGAGAACACATCCCCCAGCACAGACCCACCCCAGGCCAAGGACAGCAGCTCTGCTGGCTCCTCACAGGAGGAGCAGCTCAGTACGAAGCCCTAGGGTGCCACGAGGTGTTTCACAGCCTAACAGCAGCTCAGGCTGCAGTTACCTTCAGCGTATCCACCTCCTCTCCTGTGAGAGCTGCCAGCATGAAGATCTCCTGGAAGCGTGGCCAGCCCTTCCTGTTTTTTAGATCTCTGCATTCATGGGGCTTTGGCCCTTGTGCTTCTGTGACAAGACCACGCTCAGGAGCCCTCGTGTCACTGCTGCTATCCAAGCCAGAGCCTTCTTGGGCTTTAACTGTTTCCTGCAGACAAGGAGATTCGTGGGCCCTGCTCTCAGGTGGAGAAGCCTGAGTGTTTTTAAGAACAGTTTTTGCTGAAGAACTCAGGTTATGTTTAAATGGAGACCTCACTTCCAGCTTCTTTCCGTTTACAATTCCCTCTGTTAGCTCAGTTACGAGTTCCAGCAGGATGTACTTCTTCTTTAGCAGATCCACCTGGTACGAGAGAGAGGTATCACAAACTTGTCCCAAATGAGGCTGGCATCCGGACCCTGGCTGTTGGGGAACTGAAAGAATCCCCCCAGGGCCAGCAGCTGCACCAGGACATCTGCAGCTGAAGCAGACAGCTGGCCAGCTCCACTGTTGGACCAGCGGTTGTTTCCAGGCTGATTTAAATTCTGTTTTGCAGCAGACAGCTGCAGGGACACGTGTGTGTGCAACACAGACACATAAACACACAAATATTCTGCAGTGGAGAGGAAAATCAGTGTCCTTTCACATACCCAGAAACACACCAGCATGACTGACTGCTAAAGGCAGGACAAACGAGCTCCTCATTTACCTTGTTCAGAACCAGGACGCTGGGGACGTGGGGAAACTCAGAAAGACACTTCAGCACCTCTTGGCTCAGACAGTTTCGTGTCCAGTGATCCGACACATCCACCAAAACCAGAACTGCCAGGAAAGAGAGGGAAATGTAACGAACCTGTATTGTCCAAAACCTTAGTTTTAAGCTATCTTGCAGCCCGTGGTTGAATTGTTTCCCTCCTGCTGCTGCTTCTCTCTTGTAAAGGACAGCATGCAGATGGAGCCAAAACAGGAGTGTTTTAATTGATAAAACAATAAATCCAATTTATACTTGCTGTCCTAAAGAGATCACACAGTTCTAAAACGCAACATCCATGCCCATACATTAACTCTAAGCTTCAGACCTTGGCATCAGACAACACTAATCCCCTCCCTTGGTGAAATAATTCAAGTTTTTTCAATGCCCTTCCTTCCTCCCTCCTAGTTCACGCTCCCAGGACTGCCCTTACTGCCCAGTAACGCATCCAGATACCGCAGTAGGAGGGCTCTAAGTTTCTGTGGCAGATAAAGGGTTTGGCTTGATGCAAAGGAACTTGAGCACCCACCTAAATCTGCATGTTTCATGCTGTCCCATGGGTCTGTCAGCATGGCCTCTTCTAGTTTATGCCTGAAAGACAAAGGCAGATGGGTAAGCCAGACGTGAGCTGGACGACAACCATGCTTCCTTCCCCCTGCAGGGGAGGAAGCAGCACTTTCCATCGTCCCAGCTCACGCCGAGCTGCCTTGCTGGCTATGACAGCCCTCACTGCACACACACGCAGAATCAAACACACAACGGGGCTCGAGGGATTCTAAGGCTCTGCGTGCTGCTGAAATAGCAACAATAAAAAGGTGAGAAACCAAAACGAGGCTAAAAATAGAAGTTCCTGCCCTTTCTATTTTACAGACTCATCGCTTTCTGCTCTATCAAACCTCAACTCAACAGAACCCCATCTCTCCCTGCAGCAGCAGCAGCAGCGATACCTTTTGGCTTTCAAGGGACTGGTGAGGCCAGGCGTGTCCAGAATGACCTAGGAAGGAAAAAAAACAGATCCTGTCAGTCTGTCTGCAGCCAGTGGTAAAACTAGAACTTACATCTGCGTGATTAATTTTGTAAGAGATACAAATGAGAAAATCCTTCGCTATCTGGCTAGCACTCCCTGCTGCCTCAGGCACGTCATTTCGGCAGCGCTGGAAACTCACCAGCTGGGTGTCCTCAAACGTGATGACTCCCTGGGCTTTGCATCGCGTTGTGTGCACTTTCTTCGAGACAGGGAAAACCTGCAAGACATTAAAAACATTACACATCCAGGACACGTGAAAGAAGGGATTTAGCAGCCTGAATTTGGTGCTGTAACACAGCGTTCAGTACCTTTCTGCCCAAGAGCTGGTTAGAGAGCGTGGACTTCCCGGCATTCGGCGCTCCAATGATGGCAATTCTTAAAACCTTGGGGTTCTGGGGCTGGTCAGGCCGGTCCCGTAACAGCCGTTTTTGCTCCTCTGTGGGGTTAGGAGCCCGAATGTTGCTAAATCCCCACTGACAGCCCCAGGGACGGCCCCGGGCTGGTACCACTCACCTTTACTGGTGGCCACGGGCGGCGGGTGCTGGCCCAGAGCGCAGGTCGGTTTCTCAGGCGGGGATGCCCAGGATGCTGCCGAGCGCGGAGCTGCTCCCGCTGCAGCGGGCACCGAGCCCCCTGAGGGCCCGACTCTCCAGGGGACGAGCTGAAAAAGCAGCAAAAAGCTCCAAATCGTACCGAAAACGCCCCAAAACTGAGGAGAACCGATCCCACGAAGTCCAGCCCGCTGCCCCCTCACAGAGGGCCTCTGGGCCTGCCCCCGCCTCACACACACACGGGACCGGCCCCGGTGACCCGCCGAGGGCTCCGGTCCCGGGTCCCCCAACCCCAAGACCCCGGCTCCAGGCCCCCGTTCCCCACCTGCCCCCCCGGGACGCGTCCCCGCCGCCGCCGCTGCCCTCAGGGCTCGGCTCAGGGCCCTGCCCGCCGCCGCCACAGCGCCGGGCGCCGCCATCTTGCCCCGCCGCGGGGCAGGGCGGGAATGCCGCCGCCGCCCGCGCCCATTGGCTGAGAGGGGGCGGGGAGCATAGAGACGGGGAGGGGGTGGGGCAGAGCGCCGCGCTGCGCCGCGAGGGGTTGTGGGAAGGAAGCGGGAGGACTGGCGGGCGGGGTTAAAATGGGCGGGAGGGGGTGGGGGTGGTGTGGGCGGGGCTTAAACGGAGTGGGCGGGGCTTGTGGTGGAGCGCCCCCTGCTGGCCCCGCCGCGTGTTGCAGGAGCGCCCAGTGCTCCCAGTGCTCCCAGTGCTCCCAGTGCTCCCAGTGCGCCCAGTGCGCCCAGTGCTCCCAGTGCTCCCAGTGCGCCCAGTGCTCCCAGTGTCCCCTGCCACACGGCCCGGTGCACCCCAGTGTGCTCTGTGTCTTCTGCCATGCAGTCCCCTGCCTTCTGCTGCACCCTCCCAGTTCATCCCAGTGCACCCCAGTCCAGCCCAGTACCCCCTGCAGCACTCCCCAGTCCAGCCCAGTGCACCCCAGTCCAGCCCAGTACCCCCTGCAGCGCTCCCCAGTCCAGCCCAGTGCACCCCAGTCCAGCCCAGTACCCCCCTGCAGCATTCCCCAGTCCAGCCCAGTGCATCCCAGTCCATCCCAGTACCCCCTGCAGCACCCCCCAGTCCATCCCAGTACCCCCTGCAGCCCAGCCCATTCCCCTCAGTGCTCCCCAGTGAGCCCCAGCACTCCCAATTCCCTCCTGCAATGCACCCCAGTGCCCCACTGCACCCCAGTGCTCCCCAAGTCTCCCACAACACACCCCAGTGCCTCCCAGTGCTCCCCAGTGCTCCCCAGTGCTCCCCAGTGCCCTTTACAGTGCCCCCCAGTGCCCCTTACAGTGCCCCCCAGTGCTCCCCAGTGCCCCCTGTGACACACCCCAGTGCTCCCAGCACCCTGCCCCGCACCCCCTGCACCCAAATTCCCCGCATGGGCGCCCTGTCCCACCCCACGCCCCGGAGCCCCAGCAGACCCCAGCACCCTGGGGGCACAAAAAGAGAAGGAAACCCAGAGCCGTGGTGCCGCGAGCGCCTTTATTGCCCCCAAACCCATTCCGGGGGGGGCTCCATCTGCGGGTCCGTGCCGAGCCGTGCCGCGTGCCCAGCCGGCGGCAGAACCATTACCATTACTAAACTCAGTAATGGTAACGGTTTCCCCGCCGGCCGCGTTCCCTGGCTGCATCCAGCGCTGCCCCACACACTTGGGGTGCCCCGAAAATCCCTAAATCCCCCCACCCCAATTCCCCGTCCCCTCCGTGTCCCCGCGTCGCGGTCCTCTCGTTGCGGTGGCGGGGTGCAGCCCGGGGGAGTACATCATCTATACTGTAGTGTCTCATAGCCAACTTACAGTATACGATGATATCCAGCCCGGGGCGGCGGGAGCAGAGGAGAATAGGGTCTTGTCCCCCCCCACTGAGCACAGGGGGGTCCCCCATGCTGCTGGCACCCACCTGGCGGGGTGCTGCTGGGCCCCCCACCCCGCTGGTTCTGTGGGGTGCCGGCTCTGCCCCCGATTTATAGGAGCTGCCGAGGCTCATCTGCATATCTCGAATCTGCAGGGCACAGCGGGGGCGGCCCCATAACCCCTTCACCCCCCCTCAGTGGGGTGTGGGGGGGCTCGGTCCCCCCCAGCAGCTCCGTGCCAGCCTGGTGAGGCTTTGACACGTTGGGGACACAAGGACAGGGGGCTCCTGGGGGGCTACTTTGTGTTGAAGGCAATGGGGTGGCCACTGTGAGCCCCCCTCTGTGCTCCATCTGTGGCTTGTGCACCCCTAAACTGGGAGCTACTGGTTGCAAACTGGTGCCCAGGGGGTGGGCTGTGGGTGTTGGGGGTGGCAGCCCCATGGGGTCAGGGGTGCTGGGCCACCCCCCAGCCGCGTGTGGTCCCCGTGTCACATACGGTTCCCTGAGGGACAAATCCCTCAGCCACGTGTCCCCAAGAGGGCCGTGTCACCTCCCCGTGCAGGACCATGGCTGTCCGTGTCCCCAGGCCATGCGTGTCCCCAAACCCCGTGTGTCCCCACGGGGCCAGCGCCATGCCCGGGTGTTTGTGGTGGCGGGGCAGGGACGCGCTGGCATTCCTGGAAGCCACCTGTGGGGACACGATAAGTCCCCGTCTGCGTGGGCACCCCGATAAGCAGCAGCCACGGCTGCTGGGGACCCTGCCCTGGGGTGCGAGGTGTCCCCCAGACCTGCTGTCCCCTCCGTGTGGTGACAGAAATTGGGGCAGCGTCACCTGTGCTGCCACGGCCAGGCCCAGCACGAGGCCACCAGGATTTGGGGACAACCAGGGGCCGTCCCCTGCTCTCTTTGCCCCTCGCTGTGACCCAGGGGTCCTGGGGGGGCTGTAGGACTCCCCAGAATGTGGCACAGACACCCCAAAACCCCAAGCAGGGACTTCACCAAAGTGTCCCCATCCCTTCCAGCCCCGCTGCTCGCTCAGCGCCTGTGGCACAAGGGGACAGCCCTGCCCCATGTCCCCGCACCCCACAGCACCGAGCGGGGCCAGGGGGTCCCCAGCAGCCCCCAGACCAGCACTGGGGAGCCGATGGGGGGGGGGGGCCCGGCTGCTGCAGCCCCCCCGTGGTGCTCAGGGCAGCGCCTGGCTGCAGATAAGGAGCCACCGAGCCGTCCCCACCCTCCCTATCAGCAGAGCCACCCCGATGGAGGGGGGAGGACATGGGACAGGGGCCAGCCCGGTGCCCCTGGGGGGACACGGAGGGGCTGGGGGCGTGAGGGGGCTGCGGCTGCCCCGCAGGAGGCGGCAGGACGGAGCCCCCGTTGCTGGCTGTCACTGTCCCCATGGGTGTGCTGAGGGGGGCAGAGCCACCCTGCTGTCCCCCAGAAAAGTGGGTGCCAGGGGACAGAATCACGGAATATTTGGGGTCAGAAGGGATCCTTAAAGGCCACCGGGACAAAGGATAGGGACAGGGACAGGGACACCTTTCACTCCAAGCCCCATCTAACCAGGCCTCCATCACTGCCAGGGACAGGGCACAAACATCTCCGAGGGTCCTGTCCCTGTCCCTCACCCCCAAAAACCCCTTCCTTACATCCCATCAAACCCACCCTGCTGCAGTTTAAAACCTTTATCCCTTATCCCGTCCCTCCAGGCCTTGCTGAAAGTTTTTCTCCATTTTCCTCACAAGGCCCGTGGGCAAGGCCCTGGCCATGGCCTGGGGCTGCTCGGGGACACTGGGGACAGCGGTGGTGGGAGCTGCTGGGGACAGGGGGGCCTTGTGGTGTCAGTGGTGTACCCCACAGCGCTCAGCTCCGTGGGGTAACGATGGTGACATGGATGGAGTGGTGCAGGAACGGGATGAGGCCTCAGGCCCAAACAGAGCAGCCCTGGGGATGGGACGAGGAGGCTGTGGGGACACGGTGATGGCAGAGAGACCCCAATCTCTGCAGGGGCAGCACAAATTGGGACCACAAATTGGGACCACGAGCCCCGATGCCAGCAGGAACACCCAGCCCGAGCAGGGTCCCGCAGCACCCAAGCAGCCCACCCCACGGCCGGCCACGCACCGGCTGCTGGGAGGGCGAAACCTCCAGCCCAGGGGGATGGGGACAGGAGACACAATTTGGGATCTGGGGCACGTGGTGACAAGGTTTTTATTATCGCACAGCAGTGACACGGCGCAGGCATGCACACGCACATGCAGATAGGGCGCCCTGCCCGGCACGCCCAGCCGGCGAGTGCCAGATCGGGGCCGGTGGCCACGAGTCGGGGGCTGATAAGGCTGGCCCCCCCCCCCCCGCCCCATAGAAGGGACAGGGCGCTGCTGGCCCCACAGCAGGTCACCCCAGCAAAGGGACTGGCCAGTACCTGTGGCATCGCCAGGGCAGGGGTCCCCGCACCCCTCATGCCACAAATTGGGGTGGCACCGAGCTGGGGGTGAAGGAGGTTGTGGAGGGACCGCCCCCAGATGGGGTTTTTATGGACACATTTGTTGGCTACACCCACACCACAGGCGGCGAGAGGGATGGGGACAGGGCACGGGGTGGTGGCAGGCACTGCAGGGGACACACACAGAACAGACGTTTTCACGCTGGCAGCAGGGACAGCAAAGCCACTGGCCAAAAGACACCAGGGGACTGAGCTTTTGGGGACAAGGGGGGTTGCAGGAGCACTGGTCCCCAGGCCAGCTGCAGGGGCCGTGGTGCCAGAGGGGGAACGTCCTCCCTGCAGTGCACGAGATGCACGGTGGCACTTGGGGACAGCAGCCTGAGCAGTTCTGCCTCCCTTTCAGGATGGAGCAGCTTTGGCACCACGCTACTTTTTGGGATTCTTGCAGGGCTGGGAGGGGATCCAAACCACCCCTAAGCCTGCCTGGCCCTGCAGCACGGCCACCCTGCGGGGGTCCCTGAGCTGGGGAACCTTTGTGTGCCCTGCTGGGGAAGGGGCACGGCAGCCGAGGGAGCTGGCTCGGGGCTGAGCAAGATCCCAGGAGGAAAATCCCTGAGGGAAGGCAGCAGGGGAGCGGGCACCGTCCCCTGGCAGCGCCCCGGTGCCACCCTATCCGGGGTGTGACTGCCACCTCCGGGGAGCCCTGCCCAGGCAGGACAGGGCCTGGTGGCACAGCAGGGCCCCCGCGGGCCAGACAAAGAAAGCTAGCCATAAAAACAGGCAGTGGGCAGCAGCAGGGGTCGGGAGGGTCGCTGTGGGAGGGCAGGGAGCCCAGGGGAGGGCCTGGCTGTTCTCTTCCTACAGCTCCAGGCGTCCTGCTGAGTCTTTTGGGGTGGCCGCCCGAGGCCAGAGAACAGCGAGGCAGCACCAGACAAGCTGCCAGGAGTGACTGCGGGTCGGGGGGGGGCCAAAGGCCGGCCAGATCCAATACATGGTTGGTTACAAAATAAATCTCCTCCCACCCTTTGGAAGAAAGAAAGAGTGGCTGGCTGAGCATGCATCCTTCTGGCCCTACAAAAATAAGGCACCAGAGCTTAAAAACGAAAACTCCGATTGTCTTTGATAGAAAAGGAATTCCCGAGTGTTAAAGGCAGTCGATGTCGAAGTGCAGAACGGGGAGGGCTCTTCACTAGCTTCGGGCCTCATGCCTGGGCCCCGGTGGCTTTCTGGATCAGGGGAATCTGCAGGAGGGGAAGAGAGAAGCTGTTAGGGCTGGTGGAGAGGAGGCAGGGAGCTGCACTGAGCAGCGCTGGGGCACGAGGCTCCCCAGAAGCCTCAAGAATTTAGGGTGAGTCCCAGCACCCCGAGAGCCGCAGGGGTTGCCAGCTGGGGGTCCCTGGCTCACCTTCGTGAGGTCCACGCCGGTGATGGCACGCACGGAGGCGGGGATCTCGGCGAGCAGGCGGTTCACCTCGGAGGTGGTGGTGCTGCTCTCCCCGCTGAGAACAACGATCTCGTCCACTTTGGAGAGGGGAGCAGCCACTTTGGCCGCGATCTGGGGAAGGAAGGAGGGTGAGGACCCTGCGTGCGTGTTCCCAGCCCGGGAACTCAACACCTCTCACCCGGAGCAGGGCAGAGCCGCCCCCTCCTCACCTCGGGCAGCGCATCCAGCACCAGCGCCAGCTGGGCGGCCTCCCCGTAGCGCTGCAGAGCTTCGGCCTTCAGCTTCATCCCCTCGGCCTCTGCCATCCCGATGGCCTCGATCACAAAGGCCTCCGCTTCTCCCAGCTTGCGGATCTTTTCCGCCTCTGCCTGAGCCATGAGGACTTGCCTCACCCTGCAGAGGGAAAGCCAAGCCCTCCAGCAGCCGGGACCCCCGCAGCCCTCACCCGGCTGCCCTCCCTCCCTCAGCTCCGTGTGTCCCCTCCAGAAGTGGCCTCAGCACTTTGCCGGGGACAGAATTGGACCCTCTGACGAGGTGGGGGCTCACTCACTTCTCTCCCTCGGCGATCTGCTGGATGCGGTAGGCTTCGGCCTCGGCCGGCCGCTTGACGGTGGCGATGAGCTCCTTCTCCTTCCGGATGACCTCTTTCTCTTCGACGTCGATCTGCTTCTTGCGCTGCACCACCTCGATCTCAATTTCCTCCTGGCGGATCTTCTGCTGCTCTCGGGCGCTCTGGAGCTCGTAGGCCAGCTGGGCCTCCGCAGTCTGCAGGCAGGAGAGGGGAGAAAAGGGATCTTGGCTGTGATCTGCTGGATGCAGACGCAAGGACCCTTGGCAGGCTCTAAACCAGATGTGGCTCCTGCTGTGGGCCAGGCCCCCACCCAGGGAACATGTCCCAGTCCCCAGTGCTGCACTCGGGGTCATTCTCTGTGCTATTATTTGAGCACAGCCAGCTCTGGGTTCAGTTTGGGTGAGCCTCCCCATCCTTCCACCTCCTCCTAGTCCCACCTAACTGCTGCAAACAGGGCAGGAGAGGAATCTGCTGTGAGGAGCACACGCAGAAACGTGGGGTCTCCATCTCTAGCTCTGCTAACACACGAGGAAGGAACCTGGAAAGCCCCAGAGCTACCAAGGCCACCACAAACCAGGGAACAGCAGCGGGCTGTCGGGTACCTCTCACCTTAATGTTGACCTCCTCGGTGAAGGCAGCTTTCTGCAATTCAAAAGCACGCCTGGAATCTGCTATTTTGGTGTCCGCCATGAACTTGACATCCAGCATTTCCTTCTTGCACTCTGCCTCCTGCGGAGAGCAAACAGAGAGCAGAGCTCAAGAGCCTGCAGCTGGAGCACAACGGGCAGCTGCGGGGAAGCTCAGCACGTCCTGGGACTCACCCGAATGCCAGCGTCTCGCTCGGCTTCTGCCACCCCGATGTCTGCATCCCTCCGGACAGCCGCCGTCTGAGTCTTCCCCAGGGAGCTCAGGTAATCCACTTTATCGTAGACATCCTGGGGAGGAGGAGATAAGCCTGTGGTCACTTCACACGAGCTGCTCCATCTCGCTCCCCTCCTGCTGGAGCTCACAGCCACCATTTGTTAGGGCCAGGTTAGAAAGGGCCGTGTCAGCCTGCTGGGCTATCACTGAGCTCTCCACCAGCCCTGTTTGGGGCTCGCAGGACGGGAGCTGTCATGGGAAGCCCCAAAGGGCTGTAGGTTGTCACCTACAGCTCTGCAGTCACCTACAGCAGGGGCACAGGGCCAGGCTCAGCTCCTGTGTCACATCACGGCTGGCTGCAGCCCAGCCCCATGCCCCTCGCCTGGGCATACCTTGATGGTGAAGCTCAGGATCTCGATGCCCATGCGACCCACGTCTGGAGCTGCCACCTCCCGCACCAGCTTGGCAAACTGGTCCCTGTCCTGGTAGATCTGCTCCACCGTCAGGGTTCCTGCAGAGGGAGGGCAGGGAAAGCACTTTATTAGGGGGAAAAAAGCCGCACGAAAACAGCAGCACGGGGCTAAGCTCAGCAACATCCTCACTGCCCAGAACCTCTCCAACCACGAGGTCAGGCCTGGGCACGAGGGTGCCTTTTCAGCCCACGCCGACATCTCCAACGTGCAGTCACCACGCACAGGCTACCTGTGACCCTCAGGGATTCGGACATCTCTTACTGCAGGCACTGAAAACTCATTTATCACGACACCCAGCAGCAGCTGCTGCAAGGGAGGAACCGTCTCAGCTGTCCCATCTGCGGGCAGCAGAGGAAGCACTGCCTCAAGGCTGCAAGAGCCCCTCCGCACCTAGGATGGAGCGCAGATGCCCCTCCAGCGTCTGAAGGACCACGTTCTTCACGTCCTGCACGTTCTTCCCCAAGAACTGCTCGCAGGCCACAGCCAGGAGCTCCTTCTCGGTCATTATCTTCACCTGGAGACAGGAGACAAAAACCAAAGGGCTGAATGTGCCTCTCCGTGGTGGGACGTGCACCCAACAGCAGCAGCAGCAGCAGCAGCACCACCACCAGGCTGCCAGGCCCCCGTGCCACCAGAGCTCCAAGGACCAAGCCTGAGCAGTACCCCGTGCCGAGCCACGTCACCTGCCCCACGGGTGGGCTCCTGCTCCCTGCTGCTGGGGACAGCCCTGCAGGCACACCTGAGCCCTCCCGAGCCAAAGCTGCAGCGTCTGAGGCCAGGGCAGGCACCTCTCCAAACCCTGACCGTGGCTCGGCACGGAGAGGTGCTCCCTGAGGCCATCCATCCTGCAACATCTGAGAACAACCCCACCAAAGAGCCCCAAACTACCCGTTCAGTCCCTTAACCAAAACCAGACCTAGGAGGAGAGCACTTTCTATCGTTACCCTGTCCAAAAGCCATTTTATTACCCTTCTCTCCCTCCTCCTTCACTAGAATTACTCTTTCTGAAAGGCAGAGGACAAGGAAGAGCCTGACGTGCCCAAGGGACACCTTGGGAACAGGGGCTCTGCTCGGTGCTCCCTGCAAGGAGAGGGGACGAGATGGCCGCAGCACACCAGGTACGCCCTGCCCATACCTGGGAGCTCCTGGCCACATTTTGTGTGACTCCTTTCAGGCGTGGTGACCAGCACCCCTCCGTCCCACTCCCTGCAACCTGTTAATGGTCCCCAGAGGTGGGCACAGCCACCCCAGCTGCGTTTTCACCTCCCAGCCAGCTCCAGCTGTGACACCACCCCCAGGCTGAGATGAGCCAGGGTCTTAAGAATGTCCTGCTGGTCCTTTTTAAAAGCAAAACGGGTTAAAAATCCTTATGGATTTTTAAACCTCCACACCAGGCAGTGGAGATGCAGCACACGCCTCTGGCATTCAGAGCCCTACAGGTGCCAGCCACAGGGAGCTGCGGCCCCAAATGGTGGCAGCTCCTTTTGGCCAGGCCCTATTGACACGGGGTGCTGAGCGAGTCCCACAGCACCCTCTCATGGAGAATTTGGGGCTGGGCACTGCCTGCTGCTGAGGAAGGGCTCTGGCCCAGGAGATCCTAGAGGCAAGCTACATCCTACCTCCTGCCCCATGGACTGCTGCTGCCCGGCATCGTCCTGGCTCAGGGACCTCCAAAAGGGACCCCGAGGGTCTCGCCATGGGCTCTTGGTGTCAACGACACTCAGCAGCAGTGGTTACGCTGTGTGTCCTCTCCCAACAACCCCACCTTTGGGGAGCCACAGAGAAGACGGTCAGAGCACAGAGCAGGCTCACGGGGAGCAGGGAAGGGTCCTGCCTCTGCAACAAATCCAAAAACCGGGTTCATTCGGGTGCTGCTACACCCAAACCAGCCTGGAGTCAGCTCAACACCACGCAAACCAAAACAGGGCCGAGAGATTCGTGCTCAGCTCATTTCCAGTTCTCATTTTCCCCTGCAACAGTTGGTGCATCTTCAAACGTCTCCGAATTGGAGAGTTTGGGGGGCACGGCAGCAGTGCCTCTACAAACCAACCCCACCCACAGGAGCAATACTGCTGTGCCCAGCTCCAACCAGCTATGTTCCCCACAAGGGGTGAGCGGGAATAATCCAATGAGCCCAAAACTCAGAAAAATGGGGCAGAAGACACAGCTCTGCTGGTCTGAGGCAGTGTCCCCCGCACCCCAAGCGCCCAGCCAACAGGGGAAGGAGGCCACTGGAGTGCTCCTCACTTGTGGCTTTAAGAAAGAGCATCCTCGGGAACACTCAGCACTTCTTTTATTGCAGCAAACATTTAAAAAAGTGTTTATCTGGTAGTAAATTTGCTTTTTTTTTTTTTTTTTTTTTTTGCACAAGCTTTTAAAAGAAAAACAGTTGCCTCAAAAGTTTTCCCTCTGGACTTCTGCAGAATTCAGAAAAACTGCGCCCTACCTCCCAAACCCAACTGCCTCTGGCATGTTTCAGCATGGTAATTCCCCACATTTCACAATCCTAAATGTTGTAAAGTCTTTAAAATGAATGAATCGACAGCAGAGAAAAAAAAAAAAAAAAGCAAATGGTGGAAAAAAGAATAAGCTAAATGAGATGAATTTGGAGCTGCGTTTTTAATCAAGGCACCTGGTGGTCCAGCCGTTTGCCAGCGTGCGCTGCCTACTTTTTGTAGGCAATGCCCCAAAACTAAGCTAAAAAGGGAATGCTTCACAGAAATACCTCCCCTGAATGGTGTCACCAAATGCAGGACAGAAAGGACTGCAGAGCTTTGAAACGTGTGGGATGGAGCCATGGGCACATGCATTTTGCCAAGCATGCGAAGACCACTGAGGTTAGGTGACACGTTAGTACCTAAATGGGTAGAAAGAGCTGAAAAAATGAAAATGAGGATGCTTCACACCAGCAAGGAAATGCCCTCAGTCCCTGGAATTATCCGAGCTGTGCTGCTCCTGTTTCAGAGACTCCAGCAAGAGCCACCCTTGGAGCCAGGAGGAGCCCACAGAGCTCCCGTGCTGGGGCTCCTGGGCACGGCCACGTTCCCAAGAGCAGCACAGCGCAGGACCAGCCCTTTGCCTTGTGCAAGAACCCAAAAAACTACTCCTGGCTGAGCTTACATCCTTGTCTACGCACTAGACAACACACAATTACTCCATGGTGTCAGCTCAGAGCAAACCAACAAGCCTCAGGAGGACTCTGGTGCCCTGCAGAGCGCTGGGTGAATTCCTCCTGACGCTCCCGAGGGGCTGTGGCTGGCTCTTCCCAGGGGAGCCTCTTGACGCACGTGAGATTTTGGGTACGTCACTGCAACCTTCTCCTGCCAGCGTCCCGCCCGAGGCACAGGGACAAGCTGTGTCAGGGCAGCACACCCCAAAGCCTGGGAAATGCAGGTGTTTAAATCAGCACGAGCTGGAGTTCATGTGTGGAGAAGGCTTGAAAGAACCAAAATTCCTTTCAAGCCGGAAATTTTATGTACAAATTTTATCGTCCAGAGGGACCGAGCTCTTTCTTTAGGTTTTAACTCACTGTGAATTACAAGATCCACGTGCTAATGATAATAAAAATAATAATAATGATGATAACAACCCGAAAGACGCCATCTCAGGAGGGAATTGTTCGGTCCTGCGGTGTCACACAGAGCTCCAGGGGCACACCAGCATCACAAAGAAATCAGTCACCAGCACACACCTCATTTGCCACGGGGACAAATGAGACACCAGAAAACGAGGGATGATTTTGGGGAGAGGAGAGGTCACCCCCCCGTACAACGCAGACATGCGGTCGTGAGCTGGAATCAACGAGGACAGCGTGGTGGTGTTTTTTTTTTTAATCAAACATTTTTTTCATAGCAGTTGGCTTCTGTTCCTGGACAACAGCAACCTTTTAAGGGGGAAAAACCAGACGCAGGTTAGAGACATGCAATTCCTGAAAGGATGGTTTGGAGTTACTGTACCTGTGCCACACCTGTGACAGTTAAAGCTACCCCCTCCGCCGTCTCTACGTCCTCACACCTGGGCTGTAACGTCATTATCTCTAGGGAAATCCTGCCAAAAAACGTAAAATATTTGCACGTTTCCAGGTAACACAGGCTCAGCTCTCCCCTCGCATCTCCTGCCCCAGGCCACCTGCAGCTCTCGTCGCAGGTAATGTCAGACAGGCACGGGAGGCACCCAGGGGCTGTGTCCATCCCCGGAGGCAGACAAAATGCTTTGGCCAATAAAAAATTTCCAAATCATGCTTAAAGGTGATTTATCAGCAGGGAAAGGCCGGGAGCCAGGCTGGCAATAGGACCGTGACCCCACAGGAATGTGGCCAGGAGCTCGCGGCTCCAGGACCCCGTGGGAGGCTGGTGTCAGGTTTAAGAGCACAGCACGGACCCCGGGTGCGCCCACCCAGCATCACCACCCCCAGGGTAACCTTGTGCACACCCTGCTTGGCCAAACCCAGCGCTGCAGGAAGCCTCTGCCCCTGCTGGGCTGGCATTAACACAGACCTGCTTCCTCAGTGCCTCACCCTCCCTATTTTTCCTGTCCCGTAACCCAAAGGCAGACAGGAGAAGCGAGTCTCCAGCTCCTTGGGGCCGTCCCTGCACAGCATCGGGCACCCTGAAGCTCTTGCTGCAGCTCCAGAGCCTTCCGACGGCCTAACCCACACCTTGAATTAATTTAAATGCTGTGCAAGTCCCAGGGAGGGTTGGTGTCAGCACTACGCTGCTTTGCAGCTGCTCGCAGTGCTGAGCAAACACTCACCTCTGGGTTGCAACTCCCCCAGGGTCTCCGTGCTGTGCTGTTAAACGTGACAACATCCCCAGCGGGCTCTGCCTCCACGTGGGGGAGGAAGGGCTCAGTGGAAACCCACATCCAAACCTAGAGAGCCGGCTGCAGCTGCAGTTTCCCCACGGGTGCACGGATTTCCTTGTGAGGTGGCACAAATCCTGGCTTCCCACCTTCCCCAGAGGCTGTGCAGAGCCCGGCCGTGTACAAGCAGATGCCTTTCTGCCCTCCACCAGGCACAAGATGTGCTCAGTGCTGCCGAGGGGAGGGTCACAGCCAGAGCAAACCTCTGCAGCACTGTTGGAAGGAGCTGAATTTGGGATCTGCCCCGTGTGCACCTGTCTGCATTACCCACGGACCGAGGAGCGCACCTCGGAGCAAGGGCCGGAGAAGGGGAAGGAGAGGAGAGCTCTGAGATTTGCCCTCTCCCGTTAGAAAACCACTCGTTTTGGGTCATCCTGCTGCTGCTGCTGCTGCTGCTGGAACCAGAGGCAGAAGGGTTAGCCGCGCCGTGAGGAAGCCGGTGGGTTATTACCTGTGCGACCCCCGTTACGTACAGTGGGACGCCCTCCGACGTCTCAATGTTCTCGCAGCGACAGAGGATGGTCATAACCTCCAAAGACAGTCTGAGCAGCGAGGAACAAGGGCGGGACAGCAAATACACACAGCGGTTACCAGACAGTCAGACACTCAGTGCAAAGGACAGGCGGGACTTGGGGGGCTCGGCTTTTCCCTGCCCTGTTCTCATTTCTCCCTCTGCCCGCTCCCAGGACTTCGTAATGCCCAGAACAGCCCCCCTCATGCTTAAAAATCACAGCTAGATGCTGTAACGGGGCTGGATGGGGTCTCATCCCCCCCAAATCCCATTTGAAGCTGAGCCATGGATCCCACCCGCACTGCCACCCTGAATTCAGCTGGAATTTTCTCTCACCGTGCTTTTCACAGACAGAAAATTCCTTTTTGTAATCGTTTAAGCGCTTCTGTGCCAACACGTACGATGGGCTAGCAAAATAAAAGCACCAGGGGTCTGGCTACACATCCCTGGCTAAGGCATTGATGAGAGAAGGTGCTTCCAAGGCTGTCCTGAGACGCTGAATACCACTTGGTTCCCTGCTTCTCGGGCTTTTATTGCTGACCCCTAACCAAGGACAGGATTTTTTACTTTTTTTCCCCAATCCTCAAGGTTGCGGCAGGGCAAGAGCCCAGCTCCCTGCCAGCTCTAACTGTTCCTTTTGTCCCCGGGTCAGTGCTACCTGGCGGGGTGCCGCTGATGGCGACACAACGGCCAGAAAAGCTGGCCTCATTTTGCGAATCAGCCTCAGCTCTTCATGTGTATGCAGCAGGCTCCATTTGGGGAGCACAGCTTATGGGATTTGGGCAAGACTCTGGTTTGCAAAGGAGAATTAAGCCCCGTATCCCACGACATGAGCTGGGGGTAAAGATTTTGAAGTAAAGGATTTTTTTGGATGCTGGCAGCGCTCTCCGAGCCCCGTTTGCTGGGTGATGCAGGGACCTCCAGCTCGCTCCTGGCAGGCAGTTCTTCGCCCTGGACTCACCCCTTGCTGAATTTAGCCTCCTGAATGGGGCTGCATCTCCTGCAAACAGGCAGCTCAGGGCCCTGCACTGCTCTCTGGGCTTCTCCCACCGTGAGACGAGCGGGAACAGCAACCAAAATTTGAGGAGGAAGCCAGATTGAATGCACTCCTCGAGCACTGTGCCAGAGCGCAGGGCCTTTCCTTCCCCTCCCACCTTACACAAGCATCGCTAGGGACCCCGGGCCGAAGCAGGGGGTGTTAGCTGGGGTCTCTCCATGCAGCCAGTGAGCTGTCATAGCCCTTGTAGCAATCCCTTGTGGCAATCCCACGTGCCAGCCAGCCGGGAGGGGACCCAGAGGCGTCGTGAGCCCATCGCCAGCAGCAGCCAGGGCTCCTTTGAACCACGCAAGCTGGGTGACCCCGGGTGAGCAGCTCCTGCAGGAGGGCATCGTCTGCAGAGCAAGGGCAGCAGCGTGCTAGCTTTGTCTGCTGGTGGTGACACGGGAGCAGGGAGGAGAGGTGGCAAGGGCAGGTGGTAAAAGGTTAATTGCAACCGCTGGGCTTCCCTCAGTGCAGAACCCCAAAAGTCACTTCTTTAGGTTTTTCCCTATTTTTTTTTACATAGATAGACAAAACCTGCATCAGGGAGCGTGAGGGAGGTGTTAGGACAGAGGCACACTTAGGAACATTGCCACAGGTCCTAGGGACGAGGAGCTACATCAGCAGGGCAGCAGCAATGACAGCATGTTAATTGAGAGCAGTAACGAGCAGCAAGCAGAATCCACGGCTGAGGAAAGGGAGAGAAAGGAAATCCCGTGGTTTTAAACAGGAACGTGGTCTGCTCTTGTGGCAACAGCAGTCAGCACACCTTTAGCAATCCAGGCTACTGGGGGCAAGGGCCCGTTTGCTGCGGGGTGAGGGCTGGGGCCACCCTGGGCAGAGCGTGGCAAATCCTCCTGGTGCTCAGGGCTCACGGTGCTCACAGCACCTCTGCCCTGGGCAAGCTCAGCACTCACAGAGGACAGCCAGAAGCTGTGTGGGTGAACAGAGGGTCTCTTCACCAAGGGCATGAGACAGGGCCCACGCTGCTCCTGCCACGGCTGTACAGGGGGAGCCTTCCTCTGAAGGGCCCGGAGGTGGCTGCAGATGAAGGCAGAGGGCTGGGCTGATGCTCAGCCGTGGTTTCTCAGGTACCGGCCGGTCCTGTGCTCCTAAAAATCCTGCTGACAGCCCTGCTGGAGCAGCTCTGCCTAGCCTGTACCCTAAAACCTCGAATAACCGAGCTCTGCTTACCTTTGGGTGTCGGTGATGCACCACCACGCCCAGGCCCAGCCTCCGTACACGTACTGCTTCACGTCAGAGCCACAGCAGCCACCTGCAGGCACAAAGCACAGAGATTGAGGGATTACATACACGTGCCAAGGAAAAACCCGCACCCTAACGGGGTGAAGCACAAGCTGAACAACCTCAGAGCACTGAGGAAAGGGTCACCAGCTCTGCCAGCCCCTCGGAGCAGGGAGAGCACCTTGCATCAGCTGCCTTACGGTACTGGGAAGCCCCACTCCACATCACCCAGGTGAATCCCAGCACGCTTGCGGTGTCTGATAAATAATGAACACAGAAAACTCTTCCCAGGGCCCGCAGGGAAGAGCTGAGACTGTCCCAGCACGGCCCCAGTAAGCAGTGCTGGAGCTGGGGCTCCCTTGTGGTGGACACGGGGAGCCCCGCGCTCTCCTCCCCTCTGCAGCCCTTCCTTCTCACAGCCATTTCCCAAAGGCAGCCTTTTTTATAACTGGCCTATAAATCCAGAAAACCGTATTTACAATAAATTGCTATGACAAACAACCACACACAAAGCTACTCTATTTCAAACCAGGGTTGTATTTTCCTTTCGTAAGGCAGTGTCAGCAAACAGAACCACCCTAAGCTGTGACGCACCAGCTCCGGCACGGAAGGCCACGTAAGAAATCCTTCTCCTTTCCCTCACCAGTCACCTCCACTGCAAAGCAACAACCCTGAAACCTCCCAAAAAGCCAGCAGGTCAGCGTTAGAGGCAGGGAGAACCTTCAATCTACCCTGCAAACACCTCCTGGTTCTGGCTCTGGCTCGCACAAGCACTGTGGCACACGAGGCTTTGAGGGTTCATCACGGAGCCGACCATGAACAGAGCATGGGCACCCTCCAAATCTCCTCCAAGAGGCATTTCCCACCCCGCAGAGCTCTGACCAGGCAAAACAGAACCAGCGTGGGGGTCTCTTGTGCTCCACAGCACAGAGGAATCACCTCTCTTGACCTTCTTCTGTAGCTGGAGGGCTACGTCAGGCGGGCAGGGTTACAGGAGCTGGTGTCACAGCCCCACGAGGCAGTAACTCCGTGCCTTCTAACATTTCTTGGCGGACGTGAGCCCGGCCAGCTCGGCCGGCCAGCCAGGCCCTTGTTTTCCAGGAACAGGAAGGGAGGTGTTGCTGCAGCACCGCGTGGAAAGGCCTTTGGGTCTGCAGGATCGACGTGGTCCTCTGCTGCACCGCTGGGAATTGTTTCATAACCTCCTGAGAAAACTCCGCGCCCTCGAGCCGCCGCTGTTACAAGGAAGGAACATGCCTCTGCACACAGGTTTTTGTTTTTTTGTAATATTTCTTCTGCAGGCAGCGCAAGGAAATGCCTCGTTTAGGATCACACCCAAAGCCAGCCTTGTGCTTGCCTCCAGGAGCGCGTAACGCAGCTACACAGCTCTGCTCACTGAGCTATGCTGCGTGGCAAGAAGTGTTTGAGGCATAAGAAAAACAGGGAAACCTAAGATATTAACCAGGGGAAGGATGCCAGCTGGTAGCTTTCATACAGGCTGGGTGTCTGAGCTGAGCAGAGCTCGGTCCTGGTAACACCTCAGAGCAGCCGATCGCTGATTCCCCACTGCAGCTCTGCGGCCCCGCTTCCCAAGTCTCAGAGATCAAGTGAAGAAAAGGAACGACCAAAATGAAACCCTTGCAAGGCTGAAGAACAAACCCTCTAGCACGATGAGATCTGGAAGAAAAATTGCCTTTTCCAGCTATAATATGCCCGTTACTTGAACTTGGCCATAGCCTCCACGAGCAGCCACCACACCTCGTCTGGGGGCACCGTGCTACAAACGGAGGATTCACGGCCTCTGCCCAGATGGAGGGGTCCTGTGTTCATGCAAGAATCCCCAGAGCCAAGAGAAAGCACGTTGTCTGTTTTTTTATGAAATCAGATTAATCATTTGAGATAAACAGTTCCCTGGGACACGCAGGAAGCCTGCCCTAACGGACAGCACGCAAGGAAGAAGACAAACCCCGAGGGTTAAGGGAACACGGGGCTCAAAGCATCAAGGCCAGCCTTGCAGGACAATTTAGGCCTCATGAACAAGCTCCGTGTCCTTTGATCTCCCGAGGTAACCTGAGGCTTGTAAGGTGGCAGGAAGCGGTGAGCGTTCAGGAAAGCAAACCATTGCAGCAGGCTGCTCGGGTGGCCTGGGCTCCCTCCCAGGGGCTGCCCAACGCCCAGCACAGGTTCAGAGAGCGATGCTGCTGCCTTCACGTGCACGGGAGCTTCCATCTGGCACTGGGATCGCCTCCTCTTGCTGCTGGAGGTGGAAACAAACAGCTCGGTCATGTCGGGATGATGCCGGGCTGGCTGGAGCATCGGGCTTGTGCTGGGAAATGTCACGGGGTGCTAACAGCCGGGTGCAGAAGGACAAGGCACAAATTGGTAATTGGAAAAAGGCATAAAGGGGAGGGGAGAAAAAGGTGAAGGCATACGTAAAGCATCTCATGGAATAAAGCAGAGTCTAGACTACAGTCAGTGTCTGTTTCCTACGTCCTACCGTGAATATAAATCAGGCTTTGTCCCATTGCAGAAGTGGTGCAAGGTTAACAAGAATTTATTTCAACAGATGCAGCATTCTGAGCGGATCCATTCGTTCCTTCAAGGGTCACTACAGCAGGTGAAAGCAGGTTGTGCTGGTTAGCTTGGTTTGGAGATAAAACTGAATCAAAATCACTCATTTTAAACTACGAGCACCAATGATACAGAGTGGGTTTAAAAAACACACCTTTAGTTTAACCAATCTTGTAAACAGAAACCCAGAAGACTGAAACCACCACAGAGGCGCATGACAAAACCACTGAGATTCTACCCCAGAATTGCTCCTGGAAACAAAAAGTAAAGTCCGGAGGCTATTTTGTCTGTCTCTTTTCCTGCCATCCTCTCTGAAAAGCCTCGAGGATTTAGCAAGCAACTGACAAGGGAAAGCTGGAGCTCCAGCACCTGCAAGAAGCTGCAGAATTAGCTCCTGAGAAGGAAGTCAGTGTCCCTCGGGGGCTACAGAAACCTCCGTAGGGTTTCTGTGCTCGTGTAATTGATTATCCTCACCTAAGAGCCGCTCTTTCACATCGCCAAACCGCATCGTGTTTCTTTTGGGCCGTTCGGGCAATCTGTTGAGTTCATTTCGAGCCTAATCCTGCTCTCCAAAGCTCTCAAATCCATTCCCAGCTCGCTGCCATCTGCAAACTCAATAAGCACATTCTCCATTCCATTATCCAAGCCAAAACAAGGAACTCGATAAATCCTTCCAGCCGAACAGTGAGCCACTGTTACGTTCCCTGGCAATGGTTTTCCAGTCACTCTCGTACCAGTTTTGAGAGCTGAGAGCTCAGCTCCTCCTCAGGCTGCAGGCCTCTTGCAGAACGGGAAGGGTTTGCAGAACTTTCAGAAGCCTTTATTTCAGGCTTTCAAAACTCATAAAAGAGCCTGTTCTCTTTTTATGGTACATTGGCTCAAAATCGTGACCTCTTACGGGAAGAAGGAAGAGGGATGTGAGTGCTCAGATTAGATCTGGAAGGGTTAATTATCCCCAAGTGCTGGGGCCTGGCATGAAATGTTTACATAAACTAGGAATAAAATGCCAGCTCTTCTTTGACTTTGGAAGAGATTAAAGAGCCCCAGAGGGACCTGACTTAAAAGTTCGAGAAACTGAGCTGGATGCTATTTCTCGAGCTGACTTCTGAGAAATCACAAGCCAGCGTAAGAAGCCTCAGTAAAGGCGAGGTGTGCCACAGCTGCTGCTCTTCCCCACACTTACCTCACCTGAGGGGGAAGGCAGATGAGCTGGATGTGGCTTATATTCATCAAATATATGTCAGGTGTTTTCTTCCGAGCAGTATTTGTTTTGGTGTTCTCCTAGGAAATAAAGCTAGACCGACTGGGCTGTCACTTCCTGGCTTTTTTGTTTTTCTCCTCCTTTTCACATCACAAACTTTAGCTGAAACAGCAGTCTGTCCTGCCCCAAAAACGCTGTGGTCTGCACCGACTGCTCCCGTAACACGCCTGCAGGTGTCCAGCTCGAATTTGCCACCCTGCAGCCCTTCCAGCCAGGATGGAAGACGGCCAAGCTGCAGAGATGTGGGCAACGCTGCCTGCCCAGGGGAGCTGCAGGATGAGCAGAGCCATTAAATATCGCATCTCCTCATTACGAGGCCCTGCAGAAACCTTACAGCGCCGTCTTTCAAAAGGAGCAGATCGATCCTCAGCCACAAAAAGCTGCTTTCACCCAGGCTGTAACCCAAAACCAGTGTCACGGATTGGAGAGAATCTATTTATCTTAGTGGGAAGAGCCTGACGTCAGGATGAGCAGATATTTTCTGCTTCCCCGAACTCTCGGCCGGTTCCAGCCGTGCTCAGAGCAGCCAGGAAGGAGCCAGAGACACCCGTCAAAGGCTCCCCAGGGCTTGCACCGAGCCTCACTGGCAGCTCCCAGCACCACTGCTCTTTGGCAACGCCAGAGCCACGTCCCAGAGGAACCATAATCACCTAGGTAGGGCTCCACGGAGCATCCCTGCCATGCCTGGCCTCAGCATTTCACAAAGGGATTGCCTGAGAGCAGTTTCTTAGAAGGAGAGGAGCGTTGCTCAAGAAGGGCAGGACGTTGCTCAAGAGGGGCAGGACGTGAGAGCCAGCAGGCAGCTTCCCAAAAAAATGCCACGAGGCTCCTGCACGCACACAAGTTCCCAAAGCACAGCTCCTGCGGGGCTGGGGGAGCTGAGATGTGCCACGAGGAAGTGAAAAGAAAGAACACCACTCCTCAAGGAACAGAAAAAAAACACATGCCAGAGGAGGCACGTGACAGAACTTCCTTCAGCAGGCCCAGCTAAGTTTACAAGAAGGAAAACTTTCCACTTTGCTTCATGATTTTGAGGTGCCTTCCTGCAAAGCGAAGCCTTGCAGATAACATCCGTACGACAATTCAACACCGCAAGCCAAAAGCCTCTCATTAACGTAATTTGCTGTTGGGTTATCCTTCCCTTCCCTCCTCCCTCCCCAAACCTGACCTAACCCCATCCAAATAAGCTCTGGGCCATGAGGTCCTGTCTGTTTTTCCCCAGGGACTGCCTGAGTTCCTGGAACCAGAGCTGCCCGGGGCTGCACCCTCCTGCCCCTGCCCTGGCACGTGGGTGCTGAGGAGCCGTGGGGTGGCTGCAGGGCTCTGCCACCCCCGAGTCAGGTGCTCTCAGGGGACAGTAAGGGCTCACAGGTCACAGTGGAGGGCAGCCGGGTCTGGTGGCAGCACCGAACCCAGCTCCGACCCCCAGGGCCTGCCATGATTTGTGCTTTCCCCCCAGAAGGCGGCTGTGTGCTGAGGAGCATCCTCGGCTCGCTGGCAGTAGGAGAATGCAAGCAGATGCCACAAATTCCTGCCGGCCCATCCTACAAAGCCCTGTTTTAACTTCAGAAAGGAACAGGGGTTAAACCAAGCTGTTAAAACAATGCCATCCTGGCACAGCCCCTCGGTTCCCCTGCTGGATGTGGCGTTTCACCAAGCTGCGCTGCTTTTGGAGGGGTCTCTTGGAGGGAGGCGCAGCATCAGCTCTAGATCTGCGGACCAGATCCCAGCTGGAAGCACCCAATTTCTTCAAGGTTTTCATGTTTTTTTCCCAGCTTTGGGACCACAGACGTGCAGCAGCTGCTCACAGACCAGGAAAGCTGCAGGAAACTGCTGCTCCAGCCAGCTGGCGGGTGCGGTTTGCGACCCCTCCGAAGCGGCGGTCAGAGGGCACATTTGTTTCCCAAACTGCAGCCTGTTCCTGCCATCCCTTCAGAAATTCCCATAATTATCCGAGAGATGAACTGACAACAGCCCAGCCGGGCTGCGGCCTGCTGGATATTTTGGTCCAAAAGCATGACGATGTGGTTTCACCGCAGAGCTGCCACCACAGCATCCCCCTGGCACTCACCCCCATCTCCATGCGAGTTTAGGTTCGAGGATCACAGCATCGACCTCAAAGCCAGCCCGGCGGTGACAAGAAGGATGTAACATGACCGAGGGCACACGAAGTGACACCAGCACAGACCTAACCCCGTTATTTCCTTGCACGTGGCCCCATAACAGCGGGGCACGCAGCCCTCACAGCAAGCCCTAATGTCACCTCACCAGCCCTGCCTGCAGCCTGCCCTGCGCCAACGCACGGATTCAAGGGATTTTACTGGTTTAATTAACACCAGCCTAATTAACCGGCTCACCTGGTGGGCTTCCAGCATCAGCACCCCTGTGCAGCACTGAAGGCTGCCAGCCCCAGTGTCACGCCGTGTCCCCACCTGCTGCCACCCACGGCGGGGACATGGCTGTGACAGTGCCCCCCGCCACGTCCTCCCTCGTGGGGCACCCCAAAAACCCCTCGTCCTCCCTTCTCACCCCCAACCAACCCCCATGACAGAACCACCCCCACACCGCCTCCCCGCTGTCCCCCCTCACAGCCCCCTCAGGGCGGGACCCCCGCAGCCGCAGCGGCTCCCCAAAAGCCCCCTCCCTGGCTCCCCCGAGCCCCTCCCAGCCCCTACCTGACACCACCAGCGCCTCGTTGGGCCCCACCGTGTGGCAGTTGCCCATGGTGGTGCCGCCGCCGGCCCCGCCGCCCGCTCCCGCAGCGCCCCGCGCAGCCCCGCCCGGCCCCGCCTCGCGGCCGCCATCTTGGGAAGGTCAGGGCCGGCCGGGGGGGCGGGGCCAAGGGAGCGCGGGGCCGCCGCCATCTTGGGGGCAGTGGGAGGGGGGTGTGCAAGGGGGGTGTGCAAGGCGGGAGTTGGGTGTGCAAGGCAGGCGTTATTGCAGGGTGTGCAAGGCAGGTGTTACGTGGGGTGTGCAGGGCTGGGTGTGCAAGGCTGCGTGTGCAAGACTGCGTGTACAAAGCTGGGTGTGCAAGGCAGGGTGTGCAAGGTGGGTGTGTAAGGCAGGTGTTATTGCATGGTGTGCAGGACTTGGTGTGCAAGGCAGGAGTTTTGTGGGGTGTGCAGGGCTGGGTGTGCAATGCCCAGTGTGCACGGTAGGGCAGGCTTTATTGCACGGTATGCATGGCAGGGCAGGCTTTATTGCAGGGCGTGCTTCATTGCAGGGCGTGCACACTTCAGTATTTGCAGGTGTGTAGGCAGCAGGGCATGTTTTATTGCAGTGTGTGCACACTGCAGTATTTGCAAGCATGCGCACAGCAGGGCATGCTTTAGTGCAAGGTGTGCAAGGCAGGGCATGCACACTGCAGCATTTGCATGCATGTGCAAGCTGGTGCATTTGCTGCAAAATGTGCATGTGCAAGCAAAGCAGGGCACGCACTGTGCGAGGTGCAGCACGTGGCTGTCTGTGCCCGTACGTGCAAGGCAGAGCGTGCTGTACTGCAGCACATGCCCACTCTGCAAGGCTACACGTGCTGTTTCACTGCCAGTGCAAGGCGGGGTGACCCGTGTGTGTGTGCACAGAAGCTGTGAGGTGTGCACGCTGCTCAGCAGCTGCTGCAGGGCAGCTCAGGGCGCTGCAGCCCGCGGTGCCGGAGCAGGAAAGCAGCCAGCACTGCACACACGGCCACCACCTCCCCAAAACGAGGGCACCTCCTCCACCTCCACCACCTCGCTGCATCCTAACCCTGCTGGCAGGTGACACCATTGCAGGACGCTCGGCTTTATTGCACGGGGGACACGGGGAGGGGGACAGTGGCTTGGGGGGGGTCACGGCGCCAGCCCCGCCAGCCTCTCGCTGGCCTCCCACAGCTCCCGGGCCGCGGCGTCGTCACGGGCGTGGGGCCACGGCTCCTGCAGGCGGCAGTCGGCGAAGTAGCGGCCGCTGAAGCGCTCGAGGCCCTCCTGCGTGGCGCAGAACAGCGAGGTCTCGGCGCCCTCGGCGGCGTCGCGGAAGAAGAGCCAGGCCAAGGGCACGAAGAGAGGCTTCAGCCAGAGCGGGAGGTGGCGGAACAGCTCCGTGTTGACGAAGCCTGGGGCGAGGGGAAGGGGCGGTGTCGCAGCCAGGGCCGGTGGGGAAGGGACCCCCACCTCCCCAGGGTGTTGTTTGCTCAGGGTGCTGCCTGTGCCTGAGCCTGGCCCGGCTTTGCAAAGCTGCTCTGCAGTGCACGGGGCTCTGCGCAAAAAGGATGCGCTGTGCAAGGAGTGCACTGTGCAAAGGGATGCGTCGTGCAAAGGGATGCACTGTGCAAAAGGTGAGCTGTGAACAGGGATGCTCCGTGCAAAAGGACGGTGCACACAAAGGGATGCAAAAGGACACACCATGCGAGGGGATGGGCCGTGCAAAGCATGCACTGCACCAAGGATGTGCCGTGCAAAAAAGCATGATGCAAAGGGTGCAACGTGCAAAGGTTGAGCTGTGCGAAAGGTGAGCAGTGCACAGGGATGCACCATGCAAAAGGACAGTCCACACAAAGGCAGGCACTGTGCAAAAGCACACATCATGCAAGGGGATGTGCCATGCAAAGCACGCACTGAAGGGATGTTCCATGCGAAGGGTGCACTGTGCAACAAACACATCATGCAAAGGGCGCAACGTGCAAAGGGATGCTCCATGCAAAGGGACCCTGTGCAAAAGCTGAGCTGTGCAGAGGGATGCTCCATGCAAAAGGACGGCCTGCACCGTGCAAAAGGACACACCATGCAAAGCATGCACTGCACCCAGGATGTTCCATGGAAAGGATGCGCTGTGCAAAAAAGGCATCATGCAAAGGGTGCAACGTGCAAAGGGATGCTCCACGCAAAGGAATTCTCTGTGCAAAGAACTTCTCTGAGCACAGACTGCACCATGCACAAAGCAAAAACCCCACGCTCTGCACAGGTGCAACGCAGGCACCGCATGAAGGAAGCTGTGCCCAGCGGGGCCCTACCTGGGTGCACGGCGTAGGCGGTCACCTGGGTGCCCTGCAGGCGCGTGGCCAGCTCGCGGGCATGCAGCACGTTGGCCAGCTTGCTGTCGCAGTAGCCCTGGAAGGTGGGCAGGGGGCCGGGCGGCGGGCGACCCAGCGCGGCGGGGTTCAAGCGGCCGGCACGGTGCGCGGCGGAGGCGACGATGACCACACGGCTGGGAGCACTGTGCTGCAGCCGCTCCAGGAGCAGCTGGGTGAGCAAGAAGTGGCCCAGGTGGTTGACCTGGAAGGTGAGGCTGAAGCCGTCCTCCGTCGTCCCCCCGGCGCTCACCCCTGCGGAGGGGCAGCAGGGAGGTGGGGACGGTGCTGGAGGTTGGGGAAATTTGGGGATGGTTTTTTGGGGGGGGTCCCCGTGCAGCCGGGGGCTCACCGGCGTTGTTGACCAGGAGGTGCAGGTGGGGCTCCTGGCGCAGGAAGGCGCTGGCGAAGGCGCGCACCGAGCGCAGGCTGGCCAGGTCCAGGGGCATGAAGAGCACCTCTGGGTTCCCCGTCTCCTGCGGGTGCAGCAGGGGGGTGCTGGGGGTGCTTTGGGGTGTCCCGTGGGGGTGTTTGGGAGGGGTACTGGAGGTGCTTGGGAGGATACTGGGGGTGTATGGGGGGGTACTGGGGGTGCTTGGGGGGATACTGGGGGTGTATAGGGGGGTACTGGGAGTACTTGGGGGATACTGGGGCCAATGGTGGGGCACTGGGAGTATTTAGGGGGTACTGGGGCTGTATGTGGGGGTACTGGGAGTACTTGGATGTTACCGGGGGTGTATGGGGAGGGGCACTGGGGGTTTTGGGGGGGTACACTGGGGATGTGCTGTCAGGGTGCCCAAGGAATGTCCTGGGGGTGCCCAGGGATGTCCCATGGGGGTGTCCTAGGGGTGCCAGGGGGGGATTTTGGAGGTGGCAGGGTACACTGGGGGTGTTGTGGGGGGGGGTACACCGGGGATGTCCCAGAGGGGTGCACAGGAAGGCCTGGGGGGTGCACTGGGGGTACTCAGGGGGGTGCTCGGGGTGGGGGGCGCAGCGGGCTGTCCCATAGGGGATATTGGGGTGTCGAGGGGGTGCCCTTGGGGTGCAATTGGGGGGTGTGTGGAGCACTGGGGGGGGTGCACTGGGGGTGTCTGGGGTGGGCACGGTGGCGATGGTGCCCAAGGGCCATCCATGGGGGTGCAGCGGGGTGCCCGGGGGGGTTATTTATTGGGATGCCCGGGGACGTCCCCCTGTGGGGGTGGGCTTTATGGGGTTTCGGGGTGTGTGTGTGCGCGGGGGGGGCGCTCTCACCGTGCGGATGCGGCGCGCCGCCGCCTCCCCGCGCCGCGCACTGCGCGCAGCCAGCACCACGCGCGCCCCGCAGCGCGCAAGGGCCCGCGCCGTGGCCTCGCCGATGCCACCGCTCCCCCCTATAAAGCACGGGAAAGGATGGGAGGGGGGGTTACAAACCCCGGGGGGGGGCCGTACCGGGCCGTTCCCGGTCCGTACCGTGCCGCTCACCCGTGACGATGGCCGTGCGGCCCCGCAGATCGGGCCGGGAGCGGGGTTGCGCCGGGGCGCGCAGGCGGTGGCGCAGGAGGACGCCGAGCGCCAGCAGCAGCCCCGCGCCCAGCAGCGCCCACCCCATGCCCGGCCCCGGTTTTTCCGTTCTCGGCTCTGCGCCGCCTGCAGGAGCAGCCCCGGAGCCGCCCGGCCCGGCCCCGGCCTCCCGGCAGCCCCGGCGGGAGGAGGAGGAGGAGGAGGAGGAGGAGGAGGAGGAAGAGGAGGGCACGGGGGGGTGCTGCGCTGCTCGCTCCCACAGCTGGAATTTGTCCCCCGGAGGAAGGCGAGCTGCTGGGGAGCATTGGGTGGTTGCAGCAGGATGGGTGGAAAAGAGGGTAAAACGGTAAAAAAAATAAGGCTGGAGGTGTGCAACCCCCTCCTCCAGGCCTGGAATGGGGAAAATGAAGTTCTCCCCCCCACACCCCGTCTCCCCAGGTGGTGGGCACAGAGTGAAGACAGACAGGCAGAGAACGGGATGTGAAGTATTTGTTTTTATATACAGAATACAGGAAAGTTTCTGTAAAGTCTAAAACGTTACAATTACTATGTACAGTGGAGCTAGCTGTTCTGCGGGGGGGGGGGGGCGAGGGGGGGGTGGCTTATAAACAAAAGAGACAGACAGGTTACGACAAACGAGCTGCTACAATAAGACAATTTGAGGAACGTCATACCACATGTAGCACTGTACACAGCTTTAAAACATTGAAAATGCCATCACTGATGTATTTACACAGAATCCCAACACTTTTCCTTATTCGAAATAAAAAAAAAAAAAAAGAGGATGGACACCAGGAAAAGAACTCATTTCTCACTGCCCATAATACACAGTAGCTACTTGTAGTGCAACCATAGCAGGGAGGGATGGGAAAAAAATAACTGTGGGAAGAAGAGCGCTTCTTTACATTAAATAAAACAATGATATTGTATAGATTTGCTGTATGAAAACTGTATTTCTCTTTTAATATAAAACTATTGTCACTGGCACAAAATAGAACAAGTTTCTGATTATTTTACAACTGCATGGGAACTATCTGTCAGAGAGAGTCCTCGAGTCAGACAGCGGTCGCCCCTCGCTCTGACGCGTCCTGCTCTCGCTGCAGTTTTTCCTTTTAAAATGAAATGTATAGTACAAATATATGTGCAAATGCCCCTAAAACTTGAGCAAAAAAGAAAAATT